ACTTCGGCGTTACCGGATAGGTTGGAGACCACAGATTAAGGGGTACAGGTTTATCAATTAGCGTTTCTACTCTCAATCTCTGACAAACACATAAGACACAAATTTTTAATTTGTACAACTTATTATCTAAATTAAGTGTTAAGAAAAGAGAATTGACTAACTCGTTAGCCGGGTAGTAGCAAGTGCGAATGCTGGGCAAGGGGTCTCAGGTTCGATCCCCGGGTCTGGTAAACTAGTACTGGGTTTTTTTGAAATCTCATTAGCTCACCTCCTATTACATGGGACTCGTAACGTAAATAGTGAAAAATGGGTGTTACATTTCACAGTGGCATATAAAGTACCGTAAAGTACCGTAATGTGCACATCTGCTTATCCCTTCGGGGATAAAACACGAGTTAAGTGAGTACAAAAGAAAATTATCTAGTATTATGAAAAAAAATAGTAAAATCGTATAAATTTCACTACAGTTAAACTGATAACCGTTTTATATCAAGTCTTTGTTTCTTATAGTGATTTTATTTGGATTTGGTTGAGTTGTTTACAGAAAATTAGTTATGGTGCCCCTTCACTTTGGCCATAGAAATAAACCGTGAGAATTGGGATGATGACAAGGCATGAAAATTAAAAATCTAATTAGTCCGTAAGTTAGATAATGAAGAAATATAAGACACGTATTTTTTATTTTGTCGTATAATAAAACAATACTTAGATAAAACGAATGAAAGTTTAGGAGTGGGGGCTAAAACGTCATTATTACGCATAAAATTTACATAGAAGTGACGTCACGCGACATTTTAAATTAATATATCGTCGAAAGTATTCGTTTCTGTAAGAAAATAAGAAATACATGTTTTATGATTTAAAATAATCTACCAGACGGACATTAAAATAAAAATTAGGCATCTACCCTATTAAATCATGAAAAATTAACGCCTACTAAAAGGTAAGCTTTCTACTTACCTATGTTAAAACTATTTATAATTGTATAACGGCGAAATTCTCAAACGCTATCCAATTTTAAGTCTCGCTGAAGTATAATCCTGTTACTACAAATTCTTTGTAAAATGATAGAGATGCCTCGATATTTAAGTACAACTGATTAGCCTTTCAGTATTCGGGCGTAATCTTATTATTATTATGTTTAATTCTTGTTATAATTATGCTTAAATGCTTTCCTAGCATGGGGAATATGTTTATAAGCTCAGCAAAAGCAAATGATAATGACATACATGTGCATGTTATCATAGAATATATTTATTTTATATATTTTGTGTTACACGAGATAACAATTCTAGGTAATAAGTTCTCGTTGTAAACTTTCATCGTTTCTTGTCCAGTCACAACGTATTTTTTTTAATCAAAAACTTATTTTTTTTTGTCTAAATCAATATTTGATTTAAACTTCAATACAGATGTTAACCATTAGTATTTTGTTAGCAGACCAACGAAGTAGTCTTCATGTTAAAATCTCATTTTCTAATAGTTAAATATTTTAATTTATGAATAACATTTATTATTCAGGAACCGTTTTGCGGCATAAATTTTAACTTATCTCATGAAATCAAAGTGTTATAAAAATAACAATCAATGCGGTAGGTTTTAGGCACGCTACGAGTCGCGTATTGATGTGGAATGGCTTGGTATATTTTACAGTTTACTATTATATTTGTATATTTACCAACAGTGAACCGAAGTGTAAGTACACTTCTAGTCGTCATCTACTAGTCGTCATCTACTAGACTAGACTATAACAAGTTATATAAAAAAAAATCAAAGAAGATAGAGACAAACAGCAAGTAATTGGGTGTTAAAAATAACACTTATTGACAATTGAAATTATAACGGCACAACAATAGTTAGTAGTAAACCAAATCTATTTATACACACATTGATTATTAACTTATTATCTTTTAACGTTTCAAAAGTGTCTAAGGTTTAATTAAATTAAATGTTTTGACTTTGACTTTGACCTATAATTGTAACGTTAAAACTGGACTGCCTCGTTGGCCGAGTGGTCGCAAGTCCGACTGCCGGGCAAGGGGTCTCGGGTTCGATTCCCGGGTGGGACAAAATATTACAAAAAGTTAGTTTAAAAAAAATCTCAGTAGTAGCACGGAGTCTAGAATTGTGCCCGGTATATGACAATAGGCTTACCCCCTATTACATGGAACTCATAACATAAACAGAGAAAAGTGGGTGTTACATTGTACAGTAGACTAATGTGTACCTCTGCCTACCCCTTCGGGGATAAAAGGCGTGATGTTATGTTATGTTAAAACTGGTTAAAAATTGAAAAACGGTGTGATATGAAATACGATCAAAACATTGTTAAAGAGGAATTGATTCTAAAACATTGGCAGGAGTTTCTTAATTTTATTAATGCTGAATGTATTAGAAATATTTGTAAAACGTCATTGTGTATGGATTAAAGTAAATACCAAGATTAATAAATATGTATGGACGTTAATTACCTGCCTCCGACGGTAAAGGCTTCAAGGATAATAAATTAAAAAAAACGCCTATGTAGGTATTGTCAGCATCAATTTTCGAAGTCGAGAAAACCCAAACAGAGTATTTCTCAATTTTGAACACTTTATGCTAGTAAATAAGGAATCTTTTGTATTGTGTTTAATAGAAGTCTTGTTTGTTTTAAAGTGACAGAATGTTTCTTGTTGTCATCATCATGAGGAGTTGTTGCAGTTTTAACTTATTGTTAACTAGCTTTTACCCGCGGCTTCGCTCGCGTTACAAAAGGATAAAAAGCCAATGTGACATATATAAAAACACACAGCGCCATCTATACCAATACTTTTGTTTTCCTTCGGGAATATCAAATTTTTCCGGAATAAAAAGTACCCTATATTATTTAATCCGGACTTCTAACTATACATCTGCAAAAAATCAAAGCAATCGGTTAAGTAGTTATGGCGTGAAAGAGAAACAAACAAACAAACAAACTCATTTTCCGATTTATAATATTAGTAAGGATTGTTGCTACTGGCTGTACTATTACAATGTTTTCTGCAAACTTCATTTTATCCTTACGATCTTTTCTTCAAGAACCGCTAAAGATTTAAAAAATAATCAAATACTCCTTATTTGGAGTAAACATTAAATACTCCTGGAGTTTGGTTGATCTTTTATAAAAAATCCTAGTAAATTCTTCTTCTTCTTCTTCTTCTTATGTATTTAATCTGCTAGATTAAGTTGTAATTTATGTATTCATCTCAGCCCATAGGCATAATTGAATAAGATACTTATCTTTAATAATTCTTAATTGAATGTTTACTTAAACATGGCTAATCAACGGGCACAATTTCTTTAGAGTGATTTCATTGATGAGATCCGTAAAAAGGTAACTAAATCTGCGAATCTGTAGTAAACAGTAACTTAATCGTAGTAACTTAATTGGTAAAAAAATAATTCAAGTTTTCTATCTTATTTTAATGAATTACTTTATTTTTATGAGATAAACCTGTAAACGAACAGACGGAATACCTGATAGTGAGCAATCAGCGCCGCCCATAGATGCCCGAAACACCAGAGGCGTTACACGTGCGTTACCGGCTTTTTGAGGATTAGGAATTTGAGGATTGTTGAGGATTCGGGGATTGGGGCGATTGGGGAGGGGGTATTAGGCCTCCAGTTACCTCACTCATACGACGAAACACAACAGAAAAGTTGTTTCACGTCGGATTTCTGTGAGACCGTGGTATCACTCCGCTCAAGGAGCCGACCCATTCGTGCCGAAGCATGGCTCTCCCACACTTTATGTACCCATCCCACTATATCTTTAATTGTTATTTAATTAAATATTTTACCTTTTATTATTTAAAAGTTGATGAAAAAAAAATAGCAGACACAGTAATTTGTATTAGTATTTTGAAAATCTAACCCCATATCGACCCTTTGAGCTGAGCTTAAAGGGTCGATATCCTCAAGCATTAAGCTCAGCAGACAAGCTTTTGCCCTACAGTGTAACGGTACACATAATACGTTACAAAATTCAAATAGATGAATAAAACAGAATACTAAAACGACTAAAATTTCCCAACGAATATATATATAAGGTTTTAGCTTCAAAAATCACCTTTAGCTTTTGAGTACTTAAGTCCTTGTATTAGAGCGCTTTGTAAACGAACATAAAGTGGAGTTACAAAGAACGAGTGGCCCGTGACGTCATCCAGGCCCGACATACTGTTATGGAACTAATTATTGTAATAGCAAGACCTCGAATTGAGCCTCAAATAGTTATGTTACGTGTGAATACGTCCTACGAAGATTTGGCGCATGATGTGCAGAGGTTTTCACTACATTTACATAATTATTATCCCGAGGAGGAAAATAGAGGAGCTCACAACTCTGCTAAACAATATTTGTTTCATTTCTTAGTCTATTTACGACATTGGCTCGTCTCAATGCAGGATAAGTAAATGATGCCTTCAAAACTTACTAATTTCAGTTCACTGCAGAACAGTATCATAGGTATATACTTGATAGAAAATAGTGTTTAATGATTTTAGCTCCATAGATTTGGAATACATTATATTAGTTTAAATACCGCTATCAGTTTACCCACTAAGTTTTCTTTAAAAGTTTCAATTGCCTTCAGGGCATACATAAGTAGAACATGATTCTACATAATTATGGTATAACTGGCATGGTACACGAATTATAGATTTGGAAAAGTGAACATCGAATTCGAGGCTCTGTAATTTTATTGATGTTATTTCTAATGAATCATACCAAATAAATGTAGTTACATACTTTTATCTAATACATTGTCACCCTGCATAAAGCAGAAATTATAGTAATCTATTAATGTAGTCAAACATCGTAAATCTAATGCATTCCAGTTTACAGCCTCGCCGAGGTTTACGACCGCCCCAGCTTTTCGAGGAACTGTACTTAAGTTTTATGTCGAACGCATATTCAGATAGAGGCAGTTGGTAAATAGTGATGGTGTGAACAGGAGATGCTAGCTGGAGAGTAGTACTCACGCGACATGGTTGGCTTGCGGTAGGAAGGCGGCCGCGAGCGCCAGCAGGAGCGGCGCGGAGCGGGGGCGGGCGCCGCTCATGACGCGTGCGAGAGTCGCATGGGAGCTAGCGCGTGTATGTGCGGCCGCGCTCGCTCGCTCGCCGCTCGTCGCCGGTGTCGCGAGGCGGACTGGCTGCTGTCGTGTCCGGTGGCAGCGTAGTGCTCGAATGCTCCCGCCGCCGCGCCGGTATCGATCGCAGCAGGCGTGACCCGGGCCGGCACCGCCTGTCGCTCCAGCTATCGACCGTCGCGCCGCCGCAGCCGATGCGACGCGTACTCACCTCCTAATTACTACACAACCGGACTCCTTCGCATTAAAACTTCAAACCTGCGCGCGACACCACGGAAAATAAATCTCACTTGATTTTACAGACTTATAAATTTTATATCTTTAATTCTGAAACTCTTAGCAAGTTCTCTGAAAAAATTTGGGATACCTACGTTAACTGATAATCGTCTGGAATATTTTAAAGTAAATGTAACTTTTAGTTTAAACAAAACATGGTGTTAATAAAAAGTAAATTTATAAGTAAACCTACAACTTTTATAATAATGCCTTACCTGTTTTACGAAAAAAAAACTCATGCTTAGTTTATGATAAAACGAAGATAGAGTTGTATGTCGCGTCAGATTAAAAAAGGTCTATTTATTTATTTATTTTAATGTTAATTGGTATTTTAGTTCATTAAAAGACGACTGTTGTTTTTTCTCTTATGCGGAATCGGCAGAAGATTTTGTTTTGCAACAAACACACCCCAGTATACTTTTAATAAGTTTTAGGTTAATTAAATGTTGTAAAAATAAATGGCGCATACGATTGAAATTACATTGCAAGCAAAATGTTACAAAGCAATTTCTGTATGGAATGGTGTACGAATATTTACATTGTGTGTACTTATTTATTTAATCTGTATGCTCCCACAGCAGTGGCGGTGAACCGCGGAGTTGCCTGCCCTACATTCGGTGCCCATACCCATATCTCGGCGACACAATATCAGTTTATTTGTGTAGGATGTCAAAAGCTTGCGAAAACTTCCCTCCATCACGTTGTGCCCTATATATTAGATAGGTAACATATTATTTCCGAATAATATTTTCGCTGCTTTCAGATGATAATGCTAAAAAATATATAGTTAAAGTTGTTGTAAGAAATACCTAGTTAAGAAAATAGTACATAGGTACTATATCAGGTAGGCGTAGGCCTAATTAATGACGGCATGGTTGGCGCAGTGGCTGGGCAACTAGCTGCCGCGCAACGTGTCGCGGGTTCGATCTCCGCACGGAACAACGGATTGTAGTTCTGAGTCTGGGTGTCAATGTGAACTTGCATTTTTGTAAAGGCATCCACGCCACAGGAGAAAATTCTGGTGTGGGGCAACGTTTTTTGTCGCGGATAACCTACCAGATTACTGGGGCTCCGGCTCGACGTGCGGGAGAAGGAACGGGGTGGTTTTTAGTCAGTAAGAGTCTGACACTCCCTCTCGCCTCACCCAGGCGGGAGCAATCATTCGATGATTTTCCCTCCTTAAAAAAAGGCCTAATTAATCGAAAACGTGTTTTGGCTACAGTCACAACTAATAATTTGTTTCAAATTATCACCTAACTAAAAAATACGAAAACCTCAAAATTGGAGCTGATGTCTGATACGGAGCCGCGGAAGACTTAACAAGTTGCCGAGGCTTCGGCTCGAAGACCAGGAGTAGGAACGGGGTGGTTTTTAGTCAGTATTTCAACAAGAGTCTGACATTTAAATGACAATTAATGGCTCACGTAAATCCTCAGTTATATTAACAGTGAACCACAGAATTTAATTTCCGAACAAACTTGGGAAGACCAATGCTGAGTGTAATTGCTTAACTATTGAATTATTTATTATCCATAATTTACAAAAACACAGCGGTATCGGTAGTCGCAATTCTACTTATAAGATATAATTTCTTTTGCATAAGGATTGGACGCTGATGTTTAGTCCTTGCCTATTAGATAGTGTCAACTAAGTAGATGTATGGTTTAACAGTCTGAACATATTGTCCAATCATTTTATTGATGAAATTATTTATAACAAACAGAAAAGGTACTTAAAACGAGCGTACAAGCGTAGATACAATACAGACCAATAAATTTTGACCTGCAGTTTATTGATCGCTATCGGTGGAGACAGCATTAGATATTCTCGTCAATGCATAAAAATAACTAGACTTCCTTTGTTAAAATAGACTAAGCCACCCAAATAGTCTTTTGGTTAATTTGATCGTTCTTAAATTTATTAAAAAAGGTTTCTTCCTTTTTAAAAGATTTCCTAATCTTTTCAAATTTGTACCCTTTTTTATCCAATTGAAGATTTTCAAATTCCTGTCTAAATGATGATTTGTTCGTTTTTGTTATTGAATTACATTACATAAGGTCACATGCCATATTAATTTAGAACAATATTTACCGTATTGTTTAAATAAAATACTCTTAACTGTTAATTATAACTGCACTTATAGTTTATAAAATTAATTTATTAAGTTACACAAGGGTACATTAATAATTACTATTGTACTTTATACGACCGGCATACATAAACACGTATATCGTCGCTTCGCTAAACCTCCAGAACGGGTGAGCAATGCCTTTATAGGTTTTCAACCGACTTCAAAAAAAGGAGGAGGTTCTCAATTCGACTTTTCGACTCAATTAGAAGTAGGTGCCACAAACCCATAACAAAATATATCTTTGGTAATGGTCACAGGTATAATTTACAATAAAATTGTAAACAGCTTAATAATGTTAGGTATCTATTAAGGTTTTAATGAATAATTTTATGTAAAACTTGTGGCACCGACTTCTCACCTCTATCAGTGGGTGTGTAAGCTATATGTAAGTACGTATGACCACTAATACTTATTTTTTGCTTTTTAGTTTTTACTTTTCGTTTGTTTTGTTTTTGAAGTCGGTTTTTTTAATTGTCAACAGAAATACTTATTTTGTTTTTATACCTATACAAACAATTAGTTTTTATAGAATCAATAAATAGTTTTAACACATTATAATCTACTTTAGATAGGTAATTGAGACAAACCTACTAAGTAAACATTCCAGCTTGATACCGCGGTCGGGTCAAGCGACTCAGGTTGTTGTGAAGATATCCACACTTGTTGTAAAGAGTAGCCACTTGGTATCTCCCCTAACGAAGTCAGAATTAACCGAAGCTATGCTTTTAAATCAGCATGGATGACCACTTCGCTAGTTCTGCATTGTATCGAGACTCGCTTTCTGTGTTACAGTTATTGCTTTAAAAAAACAAAAGAATCGTCGCTGTTAAAGGATGTATTCTATCGAGAAACCAGTTCATTCATTCATTTTACTGACTTACACTGATAAACAATATCGTATTTTGAATACCGATTCATTCGATAAGCTTCAAAAGTTCAAAACTAAAAGTAGTAAACGATTAACATTAGAACATTGTAGTAGAACTGCAATCATGGGACTAAAACCACGTGGTTAATATACATAACTTCTCTACTTGTACGTTGCTACTGAATTCAACGCTGGTCGTCGAACTTAGTTCACGTTCCATAGTGGCCATCCATGGGTTAATTAAGATATATGAGCCAAAGTGCACAGCAGTCATTGCAATATATTTTCTACGTGCGATCTTAGGCGTGTAATGAAAACATGTTGGCTTAGATAAACATCACGTACTGAATAATCTAGAAAACTCATCTATTGTATACAATCTTCAATTGAAACCACTCACTCTAATTAAACTATTTACATTTATTTATTGGTGAACCAAAACATTGATTGTTTTTCACTTTTTTAAATATATGTATTTACTATCTGTAGATAATATCCAAATAATTAATGAAATTGCATTTTACCTTGTATTGTAATGGAAATTTATCCTAAAAAAACTGTAGTTAAGAAAATATCAACCGAAACCCCAGACACTTCCTCATCATCAGTTAATTTTCATCTTTATGTAACAAAAAGAAACAATTTCGGCAAAAAGAATACAAAAATTTATTGAACCTATTGAAAATTATATTAGACTTTTCCGCCCCGTAGAGCACAATGCGTACGTATCTGTGAAATCTCGAACTCGGTAAGAAGGCACTTGCGAATGTGCCGAGATTCCGGTACACAATTTCAGGCCACTTGCAGTCGCCCAGTCACGTTGCCTCTCCCGTGCACCGTCCAGCGTCCGCGTGTCTCGTAACGAATGCAATTGAAGAACCAATAAGATAGGAAAAATATTTTTCATACCCTGTATTTTCTTTTGTATGCTTTAGTATTTTTTTCCGATAAATATAGTAGGAAAAAATAGAATGTATATCGGAAATGGGAGTTCTTCAACGTACTTTTGTTTTTAAGTCTGTCCTTATAAGACTGTTTCGTTGCTGCCGCTTTTTTTTTTTTTTTTTTTAAGGGGGAAAATCATCGAATGACTGCTCCCGCCTGGGTGAGGCGGAAGGGAGTGTCAGACTCTTACTGACTAAAAACCACCCCGTTCCTTCTCCTGCACGTCGAGCCGGAGCCCCGGTTACCCGTTAGGTTCTCCGCGACTCCGAATCGGCATCGGCCCTATTGGGCCCCATCTGTGGTGGTCTGATGGCTCTTTGAGGCGCGCGCGGAACGCGACGCGCCGTACGCTCGGGTCTGTTTCTGGTCGGACGGGGAGCCACCCATGCTCGCCGTCCGCAGGCCCGCGCTTACGGTGGCCGGAGATCGTCCCGCGATCCCCGACGCCCGGTGTGTCCTTCGCGATGGCTGGGTTGCGAGGAGGCAGCGCTTTGCTGCCTCACGCGTCCCGCCTCCTCCTTAGCTAGCATGACTGCTTCGCAAAAGGAGGAGACGGCATCCCAGTCCCCCTCGCTCCGCATCATGGCCTGCACTAGGCCCGGACGCGAGAGGTCGCCATCGCCGATCACTTCCCTGAGGGCACGGCGGTGCTCAGCCCACGCAGGGCATTCTCCCACTGTGTGTTCCACCGTGTCCTCAGGGCGGTCCTCGCAGTGATGACACCCGGGCGTTTCCTCCCGCCCCATCAGA